TCGATATTATCAACGCAGCTTCGATTCTCACGGAATCGACGACTCATCGATTCTCACAGAATCGATATTATCAACGCAGCTTCGATTCTCACGGAATCGACGACTCATCGATTCTCACAGAATCGATATTATCAACGCAGCTTCGATTCTCACGGAATCGACGACTCATCGATTCTCACAGAATCGATATTATCAACGCAGCTTCGATTCTCACGGAATCGACGACTCATCGATTCTCACAGAATCGATATTATCAACGCAGCTTCGATTCTCACGGAATCGACGACTCATCGATTCTCACAGAATCGATATTATCAACGCAGCTTCGATTCTCACGGAATCGACGACTCATCGATTCTCACAGAATCGATATTATCAACGCAGCTTCGATTCTCACGGAATCGACGACTCATCGATTCTCACAGAATCGATATTATCAACGCAGCTTCGATTCTCACGGAATCGACGACTCATCGATTCTCACAGAATCGATATTATCAACGCAGCTTCGATTCTCACGGAATCGACGACTCATCGATTCTCACAGAATCGATATTATCAACGCAGCTTCGATTCTCACGGAATCGACGACTCATCGATTCTCACAGAATCGATATTATCAACGCAGCTTCGATTCTCACGGAATCGACGACTCATCGATTCTCACAGAATCGATATTATCAACGCAGCTTCGATTCTCACGGAATCGACGACTCATCGATTCTCACAGAATCGATATTATCAACGCAGCTTCGATTCTCACGGAATCGACGACTCATCGATTCTCACAGAATCGATATTATCAACGCAGCTTCGATTCTCACGGAATCGACGACTCATCGATTCTCACAGAATCGATATTATCAACGCAGCTTCGATTCTCACGGAATCGACGACTCATCGATTCTCACAGAATCGATATTATCAACGCAGCTTCGATTCTCACGGAATCGACGACTCATCGATTCTCACAGAATCGATATTATCAACGCAGCTTCGATTCTCACGGAATCGACGACTCATCGATTCTCACAGAATCGATATTATCAACGCAGCTTCGATTCTCACGGAATCGACGACTCATCGATTCTCACAGAATCGATATTATCAACGCAGCTTCGATTCTCACGGAATCGACGACTCATCGATTCGTTCGCAGAGAGATTTTCACAATGTTCTACCCAGAGCAGAGGAAGCGAGTTGCAATCCAATTCTATTCTTACAGAGGAGCAAATATAATATTATTACACTGGTCAACAACAACAACAACACTGGTCAACAACAACAAGACTAGTCAACAACAACAACAACAAAAAATAAAAAAATTTCTGGCCTGGACTTTTGCAGCTGTTCTAGACTAATTTCAGGGTGCTGATTCCAAATCTGATCTCAGATTTGCTCCGTCACATCTCATTTTTAAATCCTTCATATTATATTCAATCGAGCTGACATTTTGCTACACAGACTCGTTGTGCGTGACAATTTATTTTCGTGAAAAAATTTTTCCAAAATGTTACACTTTTTAGGATTTTTTTTTCTTATTTTATTTAAAATAGCAATGTAATAAAAATGAAACTCTTATTCAAGAAAAAACGGAAATGAATAATAAAATAAAACCGATGCCACGCATGTAAAGGATTTACAGTGAAAAACTTTGAAATTTACGGGTTAATTTTATGCTATCGGCATACCCCATTTTCATCGATTTTACCCGAAATTAACTCTGTCACTTATGATTGCAAGTTGTTGCGAGTCGGTGACTGCTTTAGTGTTAAAATATGGTGCTGTATTTTTAGGAGAGTGTGTTTATAATATAATTTTATGTAGATATCCATAGCAGGTGCAGTGGGTTGACTGCTGTGCCAGGCTAGGTGCATGAGAAGGTCACAGAGACAGACCCAGCAGGTGCCGTGGGTTGACTGCTGTGCCAGGCTAGGTGCATGAGAAGGTCACGTGACAGACCCAGCAGGTGCCGTGGGTTGTACTGCTGTGCCAGGCTAGGTGCATGAGCAGGTCACAGAGACAGAACCAGCAGGTGCCATGGGTGTACTGCTGTGCCAGGCTAGGTGCATGAGCAGGTCACAGAGACAGAACCAGCAGGTGCCATGGGTGTACTGCTGTGCCAGGCTAGGTGCATGAGCAGGTCACAGAGACAGACCCAGCAGGTGCCGTGGGTTGACTGCTGTGCCAGGCTAGGTGCACGAGCAGGTCACAGAGACAGAACCAGCAGGTGCCGTGGGTTGACTGCTGTGCCAGGCTAGGTGCATGAGCAGGTCACAGAGACAGACCCAGCAGGTGCCGTGGGTTGACTGCTGTGCCAGGCTAGGTGCACGAGCAGGTCACGTGACAGACCCAGCAGGTGCCGTGGGTTGACTGCTGTGCCAGGCTAGGTGCATGAGCAGGTCACGTGACAGACCCAGCAGGTGCAGTGGGTTGACTGCTGTGCCAGGCTAGGTGCATGAGAAGGTCACGTGACAGACCCAGCAGGTGCCGTGGGTTGTACTGCTGTGCCAGGCTAGGTGCATGAGCAGGTCACAGAGACAGACCCAGCAGGTGCCGTGGGTTGACTGCTGTGCCAGGCTAGGTGCATGAGGAGGTCACAGAGACAGACCCAGCAGGTGCCGTGGGTTGTACTGCTGTGCCAGGCTAGGTGCATGAGGAGGTCACGTGACAGACCCAGCAGGTGTCGTGGGTTGACTTCTGTGCCAGGCTAGGTGCATGAGGAGGTCACAGAGACAGAACCAGCAGGTGCCGTGGGTTGACTTCTGTGCCAGGCTAGGTGCATGAGCAGGTCACAGAGACAGACCCAGCAGGTGCCGTGGGTTGACTTCTGTGCCAGGCTAGGTGCATGAGGAGGTCACAGAGACAGAACCAGCAGGTGCCGTGGGTTGACTTCTGTGCCAGGCTAGGTGCATGAGCAGGTCACAGAGACAGACCCAGCAGGTGCCGTGGGTTGTACTGCTGTGCCAGGCTAGGTGCACGAGCAGGTCACAGAGACAGAACCAGCAGGTGCCGTGGGTTGACTGCTGTGCCAGGCTAGGTGCATGAGAAGGTCACGTGACAGACCCAGCAGGTGCCGTGGGTTGATTTCTGTGCCAGGCTAGGTGCATGAGCAGGTCACAGAGACAGAACCAGCAGGTGCCGTGGGTTGACTGCTGTGCCAGGCTAGGTGCATGAGAAGGTCACGTGACAGACCCAGCAGGTGCCGTGGGTTGATTTCTGTGCCAGGCTAGGTGCATGAGCAGGTCACAGAGACAGAACCAGCAGGTGCCGTGGGTTGACTGCTGTGCCAGGCTAGGTGCATGAGAAGGTCACGTGACAGACCCAGCAGGTGCTGTGGGTTGACTGCTGTGCCAGGCTAGGTGCACGAGCAGGTCACGTGACAGACCCAGCAGGTGCCATGGGTGTACTGCTGTGCCAGGCTAGGTGCATGAGCAGGTCACAGAGACAGACCCAGCAGGTGCCGTGGGTTGACTGCTGTGCCAGGCTAGGTGCATGAGCAGGTCACAGAGACAGAACCAGCAGGTGCCGTGGGTTGACTTCTGTGCCAGGCTAGGTGCATGAGCAGGTCACAGAGACAGACCCAGCAGGTGCCGTGGGTTGTACTGCTGTGCCAGGCTAGGTGCATGAGCAGGTCACAGAGACAGACCCAGCAGGTGCCGTGGGTGGACTGCTGTGCCAGGCTAGGTGCACGAGCAGGTCACAGAGACAGACCCAGCAGGTGCCGTGGGTGGACTGCTGTGCCAGGCTAGGTGCATGAGCAGGTCACAGAGACAGACCCAGCAGGTGCCGTGGGTGGACTGCTGTGCCAGGCTAGGTGCATGAGGAGGTCACAGAGACAGAACCAGCAGGTGCCGTGGGTT